TTCCGGCGGATAAACCAATTTTTTTCCCTTCCCTGTGAGTAAGGCGCAAATTTTCGTGAAAAGTGGTCGAAGGAACCGCATATGAACGAAGACGTCGATCTGTTAAATCTTTCAGAGTTAGATGATGCGTTAGACGATATTAACCTGGTACACGAATCATTTCAGCAAGGAATAAAGTCCTCACCCGTTTAAAGTCCTCTCTGTCACTTTCGGGCGGTACTATTAACCCCTTTAGCCCCGCCGCCTGTATTCTACAGGATAAAAAGTTTAGTATCCTGTATTATACAGGATACGATATCAAGGAAATTTGCTACATACAAATGCTAAGTCTTTCTATACAAATTACAAGTGACACATGCATAGAATTTTTTAGAGTCACGTTGCTAACCTCGGGGGTGATTATTCGTGGCCACAAAATCTCGAGATTTAGGGCGCGCAAATTTCGCGCCATTCGCGAATCGGGCGGACACGAGAGAGGAAGATCGCCATGCCAAAACGAAGGCACATCAAGCCACTTACGTGGACCAAGCTCTGGACCAAGCTGAAAAAGTTGGGGTGCCGCCGAGCTTTAACGCATCTTTTAGATCAATCAGACACCAATAACATGCGGTGCGGACGCTAAAACGGTTTTTTTTTTCAAACCCATGCCTTATATTACCGGGCGGAGGAGGTATTCTAATATAAAATTCGCATTGATTGCAGTTCCGCAATTATTTGTTTTCGAGGACTGGACCTTGTTAAAACGGATACGCCCGAATAAAAGCCTTCTACCGAATAGTGTTCTGTGGGGTGCTACATGCCTGCACTATTACAAGCCCCTCCTGAATAGAGTCCTTATAAAAACTACCAAATCTGCTATTACAAACTTGCTGACCATCCATTCTACAGAGAGAAACCCTTTCCCGTCATTCCAATAATGCCTCATCAAAGGCAGTCAGTTAGCATTGGGCGTAAGCAAGAGGTGATCAAGTGGATTAAAGATGTCGTTTCAAGGACCTACTGTACATGGAAATTAACGCTTGGAAAGAGTCAGACCGAGTCGAATACACTCGCTTTGGTAACCCACGTATGCCAAGTGCTGACACCGTTTGCGATTGGGGCCTCCGCGCGTGGCGAGACACGGATGAGGCAACAATTGCGGAGCGTTGAAATAGCAGGCTTCTTTAGAGACCCCTCGTCGTGGTTTATATCCAAGCACGATGTGTAACTTACACAGGGAAAAAATCATTTTTCATCGATTTTTTCGAAAATCCTCCATTGCAGTATGCATTGCAGTTGGCGCTTCAGGTGCAGTTTGGTATTGCAATTTTGGGGAGGCATGCAATCGGGTATTTTAGTTGCAATATTCAAATTGCAATAATCTAGCGTTAAGTACGAAGTATCTTGAAGTCTACCTTGAAGTTAGATCTTCCTTCGAGGTCTTGGCCGTCCAAATTTTCTGGTTTAAGGTATAGCGTTTGCGGAAGAGATTACTAGTCTACCTGCGGAATAGGCTATTTCTCAAAAGTGCACCAAAGGTTTCATTCCTGAATCCTTTCAGTCAAAGAAGCACAAACCCCCTAAATCCTCTCAGTCACAGAAGCACAAACACCCCCTGTGTGTACCTAACCAATCTCTACAATGGCTCTCGCAAAAAAAAAAGCCAGACGTGACGGAATGCCTGCGTCGATCAAGTATTACTTCGACACTACGTACTCGGCTGGTGATGTGGTGTACAGGTGCAATAAGTGCAATCGCACGCCTACCCAGCGCTTAAAAACAGGATACACCAATTTGTATCGGCACTTGGTCAGGTGCAAGGGCCAGGACTTCCGAGAGAAATGTGCTGCAGCTCTCAAGACACAACAATGTGGGGCTTGAGACTATTGAATTTGTGAGTGAACGTGATCTGGTCGTGTTCAAGTGGCTTAAATGTGTCATAATGAGGGACATTCCCTTTTTCGAAGTCGACAATGAACTGACACGAGAATTAGCTGGTCTGAAATCTTCCAAGCATGTATCCAGCAAATCTGTACGGACCTACGTAGGTGAGCTTGTGCCCCTTGTCGAGAATATGATCGCGACGGAGATGCCGGAGTGTTTTGTCATTATGTTCGATGGCTGGCAGCACAAGACGACACATTATGCTGCTGTATTTGCGGTGAATATGGAGGACGATGAATGCAGGGAGGTGCTCCTTGGGTTTTCCCCGCCATTGGACGAAAAGTCATGCACCGCCCAGTCGCATTGAAAATACGTACTCGAAGTTTTCAACCGCTCGCTGACCAATGTTTCAGTTCTAATTGGGGATAACTGTCCTACTAATAAGGCGACGGCTGACTTGGTGGACGTACCATTGTTAGGATGTGCAGCGCACAAATTTAATCTGGGCGTCAAGCGCTGGGTGAAGTCTCAACCCGCAGTATGCCACATCATTGATAATCGCGATTACTTAGTGCAGTTGGGTATTGCAGGTTTTCTTGCAGTTTATATTGCAATCGCATCGGTGCCTGCAATATAGCATTTTGATTGCAATTTTTCCGGCGGATAAACCAATTTTTTCCCCTTCCCTGTGAGTAAGGCGCAAATTTTCGTGAAAAGTGGTCGAAGGAACCGCATATGAACGAAGACGTCGATCTGTTAAATCTTTCAGAGTTAGATGATGCGTTAGACGATATTAACCTGGTACACGAATCATTTCAGCAAGGAATAAAGTCCTCACCCGTTTAAAGTCCTCTCTGTCACTTTCGGGCGGTACTATTAACCCCTTTAGCCCCGCCGCCTGTATTCTACAGGATAAAAAGTTTAGTATCCTGTATTATACAGGATACGATATCAAGGAAATTTGCTACATACAAATGCTAAGTCTTTCTATACAAATTACAAGTGACACATGCATAGAATTTTTTAGAGTCACGTTGCTAACCTCGGGGGTGATTATTCGTGGCCACAAAATCTCGAGATTTAGGGCGCGCAAATTTCGCGCCATTCGCGAATCGGGCGGACACGAGAGAGGAAGATCGCCATGCCAAAACGAAGGCACATCAAGCCACTTACGTGGACCAAGCTCTGGACCAAGCTGAAAAAGTTGGGGTGGCCGTTTGAGCGCCCTAAAGGACTATCTAATGATAGCCGATACTTCACACCTGCTGGCTGGGCAAAAAGACCAAACGTAACGCATCTCGTTGGTTTTTTTAATGGGGCCGACGAGGTGTGGAAGCACTTACCCGTAGAAGGTATGTACATGTATACGACTTACAAATGCTACATTTACTAACAAGCTCTTAGTGTTGTACGACGAGGTCCCACCTGCCAAGCGACCCGCCTCAGTATCCACTGCTACCACTGATCTACCAGACAATGCGGCAACCACACTTGCTTCGCAACCCAGCCCTGCCGACAATACTAGCTCAGCGTTTTCTACCAGCGCGCCGACACCGACCGAGACGCCGGCCAAGACCCCGACTAAGTCGCCAGTCAGGTCGCCGACCAGGTCATCCTCCAAGTCGCCGGCCAAGCATAAGGCCAAGTCGCAAGTTGGGACCATTCAAACCAATCGACGAGGATGCTGCAAAACTATCCCGTACAAGCAAGCAAAACGGCGGAAGACCATGAAACGAGGATCCTACCGTATCGCTCGGTCCAAGACAGACCCCAGAATGGTAGCTGTGCCCTGGATGGACAACCGCCCCGTACACTTCATTGCAACAGGTTGCAGTACTACTCCAACAACAATATCACGCCGAGCAGGAGCAGAGGTTGTCAGTGTCCCTGCACCCGAACTGGTAAAAACGTATCAAGACAGCATGGGAGGAGCAGACGTACATGACCAATTGCGCTTGCAAAGATATTCCATTCAGGTATTTGTCATTGTTTTCTTATCCTGTACTGTAGCTGGTATCGATAATCATACATTTTTTTATCCTTGAAAATGAGGAAATATTACCACACCATTTTTTTGGGCTTGGTTGACATGGCGCTGATCAACGCATACATCATTTTCCGACGCGTCCAAGGTGAACGCAGAAGGGTGTTGCCAACCCACGCGGAGTTTATGCGTTTGATGCAGCAATCACTGCTAGGCGTAGGAGCCGCAGATTTTGAAGGAGACTTGTCCGTTGAGGCAATGACGGAGACGCCAGTGCCTCCGTCACCGACACCGCGGTACATGCTACCAGGACGCCACACTACACAACAAGTTGATTCGTTTCGCACTACACGTACGAAGAATGGACAAGAGTCGAAGAAACGCCGGCAGTATGGGTGCAAGGTGTGCTCCTTGCTGCGCCCTGGAAAAACCCCGTGGGAAACAACGTTCTATTGCGTTGAGTGCTCTGCGGAAAGGTCGAGAGAAGGAGCGGCGGATAGTACTAATGCCCGAGGGAAGATATATCTCTGCCAAAAGGTGCGCCAACACGATTCGACCGGGGCGACGAACTCAGCTACTTGTAGCCAGATATGGCACGACCTTTGGCGTGGTGGGGCAAATATTCCTCCTGGGCTCAAGGCGATAAGACTCCGTGCTCCAAATCCTCATGCTGGAGCTGATCAAGCCGATGAAGAGTATCTCGACACAGGTAGTGATAGCGATGGCAGTTCAAAGGCACCGTCAATTAGTGCGAGGACATCAGTTGTCGAAGCTAGTAGTGTAGTTAGTGAAGCTAGTGATGCAGAGTGTATAGAAACAGCCATCATTTAGTGAATGAAGATAATCTTGGATAGTCAATAGATTTACTAAATTTTGAAATGTGCTGTCTACAAATTCGCCACTCGTCAGGCAAGTACAGCTTATCACGCTAAACGTTTACCCTGTACTGTACCGAGTAGATAACACGTGAGGATTGTGAGCCTTTCAAAACTCCGCAAATAATTAACTCAAGTCAATCACTTATCCTGTGCTACAGGACCAAAAACGCGGGGCTAAAGGGGTTAAATATAGTCCGGACTCTAATAGGGCGCGTCCAGCAAGCCGTATAGGTATTAATAAGAAAAAGGCTCATATTTCACAACCTTCATGAATCTTACTCTGTAGTTCCTCCAATAAAGATGGCAACGTCACCACGTCGATTGCACGTCGACCTTTACCATTTCGAAGATTGAAATAATCCTCCTGTGTCCATGCGCGTGTATCTCTTTCGTCTCCTAGATCATTCGCTGCCATCAACAGAATGCGTACAACTCGAGTCCACCCTTGACGACAGGCGACATGCAACGGGGAGTCACCGCTGACATCTACCGCATTCAAGCGAGCTCCTGCCCGCAGTAACATCACCACAACTGAGACGTGACCAGCATGACAAGCTTCATGCAGTGGCGTCCTGTGACTCGCACTGGAATCGATCAAGTTGACGTCTGCACCTTCGTCAACAAGCAACGCAACATGTTGTTCTCGGCCATTCCAAGCGGCGATATGAAGCAACGAGTCGCCACCTGGTGCTCCCCGCCATGAGTTTAAAAAGTACTGGCGTCGACATGTATCCATATCGTTGGAGCAAATTATAGAGGATGAAGCATAAAGCGCTTGAATGGAGCTCCAGTACCTACTGGCAGAGCCTTTTTCTTCCCAGTCGTCAACCACACGTTGCCAGGATCGAACAGTAGAGATCATTTGCTCCAGTCGACATCGAAGCTTGGCAGCGTATTTCGCTTGCAACGGACGTTGACGATTGGTGAGAGGATGCAACTCGGAGAGCAACCTTAGCTCCACAGCTTCAAGCTGCGAGTCGACAGCCCAACTGGCTCGTTGCAAACGTTTAATTCGCTCCTGGAGCTCTCGAGCTCGTTCTGCGCACATTTTGTCTGGGAATTCAGTCGGATCTAATGTCTCAGTCAAAGCATCTCCGCAATGACGAATGTTCTGCTCATTTGGCCAGCCTTGCGGCTTTATGTAGGCCCATACTAGTCGCTCTGCTCTGTCGACGGGTGTCACGGTGCGGCTACGCGCTGCGTCTCGTTCATGTTGAGTCTGGATCCTCGAGCGCCTCTCCGCTTCAGCTTCGCGCTGACGTTGGTTGTCGCGGGTCTTTTTCTCGTCCAGAAGTCGCTGCTTCTCGGCTTCAAACGCTTTCCTACTTTCTGTGTAGATGCGTTGGTAGTCAACGACTTGAGTACGTTGAAGTCGCTCATCTTCTTTTCTTCTACTTTCGTGGACTTTGTCGTGATCTTTTGCCTCATGTTGAGACGCATGACGAGCTTGAGGAGGTGACTTAAGATCGATTTTCTTCCTGGTAATGGCAACTTGATCGTGTACGCTTGTAGTGCTCCCAGACTGGGTAAGAGGAGGAGACGTCCAGCTGCGTCGCTGAGGGAAATATCTCGTTACATCCAGTACCGACGGTAGTCGTGTAGACACTAATGCTGCATGAGGATGCTGCTTTTGGGTAGCAATGGTGGGCGACGGTCCTGACGACGGAGCTGCATCTACCTCCCTGTGAGCGCTTATGGGCATTTCCTCGGTTGGAGCAGTATTGCTTGGGGGGTATAATATCTGAGCGTAATAAAGCGTTTCCTCGTTTTCGACTGCTTTACTCACAACGGGAGTCGTACTGGCGATAACGTCACTCGCTGGAAGATTCTCATTAGGAATAACGTGTTTCTTCTGTAGTTCTTCACGTTTAGCCTGCACTCGTCGCCGTGCAAGAAAACTGCGAATCTTACATTGGATTTTCAGTGCTGTCATAAAGGTGTTTTTGTCGAGAGCTGCTGGGTCGACAAGCTCGTCTGTAGTTGCTGCTACTGTCGATGCTGCACCTTCTACCTCCATACTTACGCCCTCAACGGCTTTTATTGGACTCTGGTCTACATCGTTCGCATTGTCGTCACTTTCCTTGCTCACAAGGGCACCAGTGTACCATGAAAACATGATCTGTTTGTCAGCCGGTTTTACTCCGTCAATATCGCTTCTTGCAGCCTCATTAGCCACGGTATTATTATCAGCCGTCTCACTTTCTTCAGCACTGCCAAGTGCAGGCACAAGGACATCTGCTGCTTCATCTCGATAGTCATTTTCAGTGACACCTTCCGCGATCCCCTCTTCAAGGACTAAAGAGTCTTGTGCTGGGAGCAGAACAGTATCAACTCTCACAGTTGCAGGAGGAGCTCCAGATGAAGGACGTGGGGATCCACGGAGACGAGCTGAACAGGGCCCGCTGCCTGGACGAGCCGAGCAGCGAGAGGGGAGGTTACCGCCCTCTGAACGTGGTGCGAGTTGCTGAGCAGTAGGTGTGTGGACCAGTACCAGTCTGCTAGAGCTCACGGGGGTATTGGAGACCGCGGCAATCGCTTGTCTCACTTTCTCTTCGAACTCAGGAGTGACCATCACTTGTGCAGCGGTAGTATCAGTCATTTCGTTATCGAGCGTTGAGTCTGTAGCTCTATCTTGTGAGTCAGCTGTGTGTAGGTTTCCAGGGAGCTCCAGCTTTTCAGTCTCTCGAGTCATTTCATCGATTTGTTCCAGTTTTTGATGATCCTGTTGCGGTTGATCCTGGTGGTAGCGACAAAACTCGTGGGGGGGTTCCCACAGACACTCGCCAGTGATGTTATTATAGTAGTAAGGAACACCGTCATTCTCGTTGATGAACATCATCCATGCACATTTTTCACCATCTAGTGCAGGCTCAGATTCACCTTCAGACGTTGATCTTTCGCTTGTTTCTTGATGGTGAACATTCTCTTCGTCTCCTGGACTCTTCTCCTCTTCCTTGCCCTCGTCTTCTCCACTAAGCAAACGATTCAGCTCAGTCATTTGCTCGGCAGTCGACGGTCTTCTTCCTCTTCCTCCTATTACTGCCAACACATTATTGTCGGAAGATAGTGACGCATCTTCTTCTTTCTCAGTATCAGTCGACGGTGGTGTCCATTGCGTCTCCATCGTTTCCGTGTTCAGATAGTAAACGTGTCCATTTTCATCACAAACCTGTGTCCAGGGGTGAATAACATGACCAGTATTAACTTGTGGAGGGGGCTTCCACGAGGTCTCCCCTGTAGCCGAGTTCCAGTAGTACATCTGACCGCTTGCATCATCTTGCCGCTCCTCCCACCCAGCCTCCACACTAGCTGGGTCGTGCTCGTCCATGTCGGTTGTTACCTTCCTTCAAGAACAAATATTCTGCGACAGAGACGCCAGCTATTAATACAAGACTGGACTTACTTGAGTGAGAATTCGCATGATGGATGTGTATGGTCTTGTTTTTCTCGGATATGTAGACCATCTGTCTTTCAGCACGGCCATCATAATACAAAGCTCGGAGAGGCACCCATGGACCATGACACCGATGTGAGAACGTGCAACAACAATCGCTGGCTCTATTGGTTCTTCTAACTTACCGTTCTGTACCAGGCCTCCTACACTGCCCCATCGATTCTAATTAACTGGAACTTTCGCGAGTTGTTAGATTTCGTGTCGCGCGCGAATGCAACACACTCAAGAGCGGCGGATTACCCCAAGCCTCCACGCTGGCTGTCGGAACTCACAAAAGATCTACATGAGACCAAGAGACGCTGAGGAGTCACGCACGCGGATGAGATGGTGAAGATCTCGTCATTCATGAGAAGGTGAGCGTCAGCAGAGAAGGTGAACAGGATGAGCAGTTAGGAAACCTCTCGAAGGAGAGAATGCATTTTACATAACAACTAAATTCAATCAGTCTTCAATCTACCACGCCGAGCACAAGCGACCAACAGGTTATGAGCCCAACGGGTTCCGACGGCACCTCACAGCAACAAAACCCGCGCGATGCCCAAGAGACTGATGTCCACGGGCTGAACGTGGCAGCAGACCCGTTTGAGTTGTTCGAGGGGACGCACTCTGAGTCAGGTGCGTCCGATGCTCCAGGAAGGGGAAGCCGGAACTCTAGCGCAAGTTCTGAGCGACTAGATAAGCTTGAAGGTCTCATTGAAGGCATGGCCAAACAACAGGCCAAGTTTATGGCTGACCAAGCGGAGCTTCAAAAGCAGCTGCAGCACCGCACGGACACGCCATCCTTCGAACACAAGTACGGAGAGTCGAGCGCGTTTACTGATTTCATCAAGGCTCGAGCACGGCGGATGAGAGTAGGATCTCTCGATGCGTCGATGAGGACGCCGACGCAGACGACGCCAGCTCCAGAGATGCCGACGCCACCGACGGAGAACGCGACGAGTATGCAACAGCGGATGGCCGCACCCATGGCAGAGCAGTTTGTGCCGCCACCAAACTTCGGACTCAAGGTGCCGAAGCCACGCGACCTGGACTGGCCGGGCTTCGCGAAGTTCGCGGGCAAGGAGGTGTATCCTGGCCTTGGTGCGGATTTCAAGACTTGGGGACTGCGATTCTTGCAGCGACTGGCTGCAGCTCAGCAGATGAGCGGTGGTGACTGGTCAGAGGAATTCCGCATCCTTGCCTTGAACGGCAAGATGGATGGATCTGCACTGGTGTACTTCGAGAGGATGCTTCCACTCTGGACGGCGGAGTCGCCGACACTGGAACATGTGATGAATAGAATGTAAGTACCGTACATGACGACGATCACTGCATCCAAGGGATTGCAGTTGATGACGGCAGAGAAACTGCGCGAAAGGACGTGGGCGGAGCACTTTCAGTACTTGACGTACGTAGCTGAAAGGTCGGGGTGTTCAGATCTACACGTGATACAGTGTTTGTGTAAGTCCACACCGGGTTACTTGCAGAGTGCCATGCTCACAAGGCTGAACTCACAGCGCATGGATCACTTGCAGCAAGCTACGGAGTTAGTGGCTTTTGCGATTGAGTACGAGGCAAGCATGGGCAAGTACGAACGATCTCGCAGTCAAGGAGGTCGCGGCAACAGAGAACATGGTCGGTTCCATGGTAGTAACCGAGGTATCCACGGTGAACGAGGACTGGAAACCGTCTCACGCGTAGACGATACTGACACTCGCAGATGCTACAACTGCAACGAGATTGGACATATTGCAAGAAATTGTCCAGCGAAGAAGAATAACGGTGCCAAAGAGATCAAGGTCTCGCTAGCTGTCGGGACGGGCACGAACACCGACACACACGCGTGGATCTTGGATAGTGGATCCAGCGTGCATCTAGTCAAGACCGTAGAACTGTTGAAGAACGCAGTGGACTGTGACGATCAATACAGAGCGGCGAATGGTGAGAACATAAGGGTAATCAAGAAAGGCTCTGTGGAGCTCAAGACGATCGTGGATGGACGAGAAGTCGTGGTGGACATTTCGGATGTTCATTACGCTGAGAACTTAGCCGACAACATCATGAGCTACGGCAGATTGGAGGAGAAAGGTGTGTACCTTGAGCGTCACGACGGCAAAAGCTACATGGTGCAGCAGAAGAGTGGAGTGCGCGTGTTCGAAGTCCACAGACGACACAACGTGTTAATGATAGACACTACGGGGAATACAAGCAAACAGGCGCGAATTAGTGCAGTAGTCAGTCAACTGAAAGAAGCAAACAACTCCCTGAATGAGGCTGTGACCGAGACGACACTATTGGAGCTGCACAAGCGTCTGGGGCACATCTCGTACGACACGGTAGAGCGCATGGCCGACGCGGCCGGATCAGGCATTAGGTTGACGAGCCGAGTGCGCATGAACTGCTTAACCTGTGCACAAGGCAAGCAGAGTAAAAACAACCAGTCACTGAAAGATACGGGAGCGAACGCACCCATTGACAAGATCGGAGGCGTCATTGGGAGCGATATCAAGGGGCCCATGACACCCAAGGACAGGCGCGGTAATAGGTACTTAATTAACTTTGTCGACTATTCCACGAACTACGTGAGGGTGTTCCTGGCCAAGAACAAGGTGGAAGCCACTAAGAAGTTCGAACACTTCTTAGTGTACTTCGAGAAACGATTTAACTGTAGAATCCACGTGCTCAGGACTGACGGAGGCAAGGAGTATACGAACGTGGATCCGTTCTGCAAGGCGACAGGAGTGCGCCGACAGATTAGCGAGAGAGAGAACCAGGCATCCAACGGGAAGGCCGAACGAATGCACAGGACAGTGCTGAACATGGCCAGATGCATGTTATTCGCTAGTGGGCTATCACTGTACTTCTGGGGAGATGCAGTCGAGTACGCAGCGTACGTACTCAACCGCAGCTCGTGTAGAGCGAACGCCAAACGCATATCGCCATTGGAGATGTTGACGGGTTCAGTACCGAACTTGTCAGACATCGTCACGTTCGGCAGCCCCTGTACTGCTTACAGAGACGCCGGCAAGAAGGCCTGGAAGGCAAGAGCACAAGTTGGCATGATAATAGGCAAGAACGACGAAACGAAGGGCTACAAGGTCTACTTACCGAAGGACAGAATTGTAATAACAACCCAGCACATTAAGAACGTCGAGACCTTGGACGTCAAGCAGAACGCGCAACTGCAGGAACAGCTCGAGATAGAAGATCCAGAATTGAAGAAGGCAGTTAAAGAGCGAGAGAAGGCGACGAAGCGGAAGGAGACAGCTGTAGAAGAAACACGCAACAGTGAAAAGACCGCAGAAGAAGAAAACAAGTCGCTGGATAGAGCAAAGAAGACAAAGAAGAAGAAGAAACAGGCTAAGAAGAACAATAAGAGGCGAAGCACAGATGCAGCTGAAAAGGAAGGAGCAGATGAAGAACACGTGCCAACTGAAGAAAGAGAGACCACACGCATGCACACGCGCAACATGGGCGCAAAACATGTTCCAGTAAACCGTGTGAACGTGGTGAAGCGCGAGGATCCGAAGAACTATAAGCAAGCAATGAAGGACCCGCGCGCAGACAAATGGAGGCAGGCCATCAAAGAAGAGCTTGACGCATTGGAACAGAATGGCACGTGGACGGTAGCGAAAAAGCCGCCAGGGACGAAGTGCTTGCGCACGAAGTGGGTCTTCAAGCTCAAGACTCATGCGGATGGTACCATTGAGCGGTACAAGGCTAGGCTGGTAGCGCGCGGAGACCAGCAGGAGTACGGTGTAGATTACACGTTTACGTTCTCAGCCGTACTGGAGTTAGTATCTGGGAGAGTGATACTAGTGGTATCGCGTATCTGGAAGGTGCCGGCACGCCACGGAGACGTACCGAGTGCGTACGTGAAGGCCAAGAAAGAGGCCGAGCTAATCATAATCCTGCTGATCCCACAAGGCATGGAGTTCACAAAGGAGCAGCTCGAAGCACTGGGCGTGACGAGTAAGGACGAGCTGGTGTTAATCTTGGAGAAGGGTCTCTACGGACTAAAGCAGTCTGGCCGATTGTGGAATCACTTGCTACACAGTATCTTAGTGTCGCTGGGGTTCCAGCAATGCTATACCGACAGTTGTCTATACATCAAAACCGAAACAGACGGTATGACACTTGTAGGGATCTACGTGGATGACATCTTAGTGACGGCAACAAGCGAGGACAGGGTTGACAAGTTCTTCGCAGAGATGCAGATCGTAGAGCTTAAGGTCTTGGGTGTGGTGTCCAAGTTCCTGGGAATTGCATTTCAATACGACGATGAAAAAGGGTGGGCTCTGGACCAGGAGCAAGTAATCCAGGACCTACTGGTAAAGTTCGAGTTGGATAACGCGGCAGCAGTACGTACGCCGATCGACGGTGGATACGACGGCGAGGAGACCAGTGTAATACTGCCGAGTAAGGGTGCAGGAAGTCCAAGGCGACCAACAGTGCAGACTTTCCAGTCGTTGGTGGGCAGTTTGTTGTGGCTCTCAAGATGTACGAGGCCTGACATCTCTTTTGCAGTGCACTGTGTGACGAGAAACGCACACGCCCCCACCGAGGCCGACTGGAGGTTGGCGAAGAGAATTGCTAAGTATTTAAAGGGGACGAAGAAGTTGAAGTTCCTAATGAACACCAACAAGAACACAATGAACAATGCTGGGGTGCTGGTGGAAGCGTTCAGCGATGCAGACTACGCGTCCAACAAGAAAGACAGGAAGTCTGTAACAGGAGGAGTACTAATGGTTGCAGGAGTGATAGTAGCATGGCTGTGCAAGAAGCAAGCGTGCGTTGCACTGTCGACCATGGAGTCAGAGTTCGTGGCAGCATCACAGACAGCTGCAGAGATGCTGGGCATCATGGAATGTCTCAAAGAGGTAGGACTAAAGCTAATGGAGCCGTCAGTGCTTCATGTCGACAACCAAGCTGCAATAGCTCAGTTGGAGGGAGAGGATTCGTCCGGACGTGCCAAGCACATTGACACGCGTCACAAGTTTGTGAAGGACTTCGTACAAAAGAACGTGCTACGGGTGCAGTATTGTGAGTCCGTGAAGATGCGTGCAGATATCCTGACGAAGGTTCTCCCCGCGCCACGCCTCAAGGAGCTGCGTGAACTGGTGATGTTGTCAGGATGATCGCCCGGGAAGGAGTGTCGGAACTCACAAAAGATCTACATGAGACCAAGAGACGCTGAGGAGTCACGCACGCGGATGAGATGGTGAAGATCTCGTCATTCATGAGAAGGTGAGCGTCAGCAGAGAAGGTGAACAGGATGAGCAGTTAGGAAACCTCTCGAAGGAGAGAATGCATTTTACATAACAACTAAATTCAATCAGTCTTCAATCTACCACGCCGAGCACAAGCGACCAACACTGGCTGAATGTTCGAGCACCGTACATGACAGCGGCCTCACTTTCGCGAGATATTGTCGAATGCTTATGGGGTCAGGTCGACGGTGCTTTCTCCGAATCGCGATTCGGAGTCGTCTTGCTCGTGCCGCCGAACATGCAGCAATACAGTCGCATTGTCGGGCGTGTCAGTATCCTGGAAGTTGATCCATTCATGCAAGCTGTCATGAACAAGGCCCCTGCAAACGAGCGGATTGCTGCGATCGGATTATTGCAGGGGGGATCTCGTGGCTCCCAAGCGCGTCTGATTGTACGGGAAGACCCCGTGCCATATCGGCAGATTTTTGAGTGAGAGGTGGCTGATAGCAAATAGATACCATGACGTTAGAATATTTTCGTTGTTCAGTTACAAATCGATTTTTCTTTGCTATTTAGTTTTAGTTGAACGCAAAGGTGACTGCGACGGCCGACGATGCAGGCAATGAGGATACTTTGACCAGCTGGGATTTTCAGGAACTGGAATTCGTTCAACGCGCTCAATGGCATCGTTCCCGGGACAGAGGGGCCCGCATCCACCCCGTTGGATGAAAACTTCACCACCACACACAACGGCGGCGTCACTTACGAACGAGATTGTCCAGTATATTGCTCAAGAGGCTGGTGGTTACTTCGGCAGTATCTGTGTGTGATGTCTCGCTGGTGGGTAATTGAATGCGGCCCGTGCGGCAATACCACAAAAAAGAGTAACTAGAACGTGTTACTTGAAGAAGAACGGACAGGGTAAGTTGGTGCCACTACACTAGACAGCTTCAGATTATTCGAGTAAATATGAGCTTGGCGGCCAGTGTCTGAAGACGGAAATTGACTACAGTCTAAGTACTCTATTTATCGAATTAATTTCGCTTTTGTCGCTGACGTTGACTTCAAAATGCGTCAAAATGA